TGGAGGCTACCTCTTCCCCTGCATTCCAGTATCCAAAACAGTACTCTGTCAATGAGGGTTTTTCAGGCTAAGAAATCGGACTGGACCGGTTCCTCTCCTCCCGACTGAGGGTTGTGAGCGCGATTGGACCAACGGGAAGACCCGACCGGTTTCTTCCAACACCTCGTGCCCCGTTCCGGGTTCCGCTTTTCTCCACGTGTGGCGTCGTTGGTCGTGTTGGCACCGTCGCTTCAAAGCGTTTTTTTTCTGACCCAGAAGGGTGTCACGAGGGGGCTGTCCGTGTTGATTCGGTTCGGAGATAATATGTTACAGACTTCAGTTTGACTCTTCAAAGGGATTGTGCCGGATGTTTTTCAGAGGGGTGATGACAGATTAAAACCCGGTCTACTAGCGAGTCAAGTGGAGGGGTGGGGCACCCCGAACCCTTTGAACCACGGGCATGCCAGACCTTTCCCATCGTTTTGGTCTCACAACTGTCACCGGTGTTTTGGAGTTTCTTTTTCTCGCCCAATCTGAGCATCTGGCCACCAAAAGGACGAAGCCGAGTTTCTGTTCCGCCAATCAAAGGGGTGCCTTTCTTTTGGGGGACACATCCTTGGGACACGTTTCCGCGTCAGACACCGAAACGCTTCCCATCCCAGATTCACCCAGATTCCTGGTGCCCATGTAAAGCGTGGAACACATGACCTTCTCATAGGGTTAGGTGCATCCAGCGAGTTTTGTTTAGCTCGACCATAAATGGGAACGACCTGGTGGCGTAGTGTAAAAATCTTTAGTATAAAACCATAGACCATAGCATAGTTATTTGGCATTCAGACGATTCAAAAATTGGTTGGCCACGAATCCATAGACGTTCGGTGGAGGTCTGTTCTTTTTTATCTTTCTGGGCGGATCAGAGCCCGACAAGTTCCGAGTGCCAGGGCGACCACTCTTTTCTGGAAGGGTTTGTGGATCAGGTCGGGACATCTGTGGAGGGTGAGGGTGGAAGTTGACTTGGCTTGATTCATACCGATGCCGAAGGCAAAAAAAACCACCCTCTGAGGATATGGGACCATCGAGACACTGGACCACTTCTGACACGACACCCGTGGGCCAAAGCACACGGGTGTTTCTGGTTTTGGTGCTTAGTGCTTGTAAAGAACGAGTTCCAGAGTTCATTTTGATTCCTTCCCCATTCAGCGCAAGCAAGTATCAGGGTTTAAGGACCTCGAAGCGCCTTTGTCATGTGTCATGATGGGGAGCTTTATAGAAATGCAAGTTCCCGAGGTCCAGTGTTTGTGTGCTGATGCCCAGTCCCTTCTATGTTCAGCCGTGCACCAAGCTCACCCTGCGTCGTCCAACATATGCACCAGCCGCACAGCCCGAGGGGCCTCTTTTGGAAGAGCAAAACAGCGTCATAGCCGCATAGCTCAGAGGCAATCCCAGAAGAGTTTTGGCTCCGACGTGCGCATTCTTGCGCTCTACGGTAGGAGAGAAGACTGAGCACCTTCCGCCAGAGAGAAGCTGGTGGGAGAAGGTTATTTTTCCTCGTCCCTCCGTTTGCCAACCGCACAGCCTTTTTTCCACTAGTACTTCAACGCCCCAGCTGGCATGGCAGCTCTCTCTCCAAGATCGAGTGGGAGTTTTGATCAATCAGTTTTGAGAGTGAAGAAGCCTCCGATGTTGGTCTGATTTTGAAGGTGCTGAGCCAGGTACACGTTCGTGGATGGATCAGAACAACCACCAAGACCCTGTAGATGTTTTTCAATATTGTCCGAAGAACGGGCAGCCGGACCCACATGCGACTTGAGGGGCCAGCGCTTCTCTACGATTGAATCAACGCCTTCCTGAACTTTTGCACACAGCAAAAGTACATGTTTCTTTGAAAGAACTGGGCCTCCCAGAGACATCGACCAAAGATCGTAGGCCACCCTTTGGCACTTGATCTGGAGTACTGCGCTTGCTTGTAGCGAGACTTTTACACTCCTTTGACACGCGCCACTTCCTTTAGGCCCGATTCTTATTAGGGGGAGCGACGTCCTCGACCTCCGCGACCGCTCGCGAAGGGGCTCACCAAGTCTGTCGCACCGCGGCGCACCGCCGGATTGAGCGCGGTTCAAGAACAGCCCTTTCGTGCAGGAAAGGGAGATGAAGACCCACAAAGAATCCCATCCATCGCAAAGAATCCTTACAGGAACAGGGAACCTGAGATGGGTATATAATAGTATATATATGTCGAGTAAATTTGAACCTCTCTCAGCTCCCAAGAGGGTGTTTTCTTAGTGGACACTTTGGATGCTGCTTCAACCGGCTTTTGGTCCAGTTTCTGGCGAGCTACCAGAGATTCGAAGCCAAACAACTCCAAAAGCTGATTTGGCTGGTCCAAACTTGTTCATCCACCTAAGCAGGGTATCCTGGGTCAATCCCAATCCAAAGCTGTCTTTGATCGAGCCCCTTACAGGTTTGCTTGCCCAGTCACGCTCGCGTGTTGGTGGGCCCCTGCGAGCCTCACTGGTTGGGGACCAATCCAAGATCCACGTACAGTCGCCGACGCACACGCAACTCAAGCCAAGCTGTTTGGTCGCAACCCAGCACCAGTTGCAAGGTGCGGTTTGCGTGTGGGTTCTTCTCGTCGGTTTCCGGACTTGGTCGCTGCAAGCGCTGCTTGCTTGGTCCTTTGACCCTGCAGACGCAGTGAAAGGACACCAAGCGATTGGCTCGCGGTGCCACTTGGACATTGATCTCTCCAACCGGACGTCCGCTTCGCAAATCATGCGCCCTCTTGGACTGGGTCGAAGGCGCGGCTGAAGTTGGAGCCAAAAGCGGTTTTTGGTTGCGACGTGGCGCCGGTTCGATTTGTAGGATGTTTGGATGCTGTTGGATGCTGGATGTTGGATGTGAATGTGTGGAAGATTTTGGGGGACTGAGATGAGATGGAGTGGTCGTCTAAAGACTTCTTCAAGTCAAACTCTATGAGGTCTTTTGGGATACTCAGCGGCTCAGTGACAGTGTCGCTTCGAGAGTGGTTGTCGAAGAGTCAGGGGATGCCAAGTCTAAGATGTCTAAGTGGAGGTCAGGAACCGGGTAGACATCATATCTTTTCATCCGAGCTACAGCATTGAGTGACTCTTTTTTGTTGGTCTTTATGAACATATACGAGGCTTGGGAGCTGAAGTTGCCGCTGGCCTTCTTCAGTTCGTCCCCTACCCCGTGAACCGTCAACAGACGAAGAGACGAACAGGTCGGGGACCCCCCCACGACTCGAGGCCGGTGATCATTGGGTTCGAACCGGAGAAAGCACCGATCCGTTGAGGTGCTTTAAAAGCACCATCTTCGCGACACATTGTTTCTTTTGCCTAAACTTGGCCACGAAACAACGCCTCCTTGGCCCGGCACAGGCCACTAGACATCACCAGACCCTGCCCTGAGCGCCCATCCATCCCAGGAACAGATGAGCGCCCTGGAAAAAGCTCTTGCGGCCCTGTAAGGGGCTCCCAGACCGGCGCGAAGGCAGAGGATCCGCCCGGGGAAGAGGAAAGATGAGCTGGGAGCATTTACTGGAAGCCGGGTGGAAGGGAGCCTGAGGATTGCTTTGCGGCAGCGTGAGAGCGGGGGTGGCGGGTTGAGACGGTGTGGGTGTCGTTTTGGGTAGGATGGGGTAGAAGTTGCAAGGGAGCCTTTGAGGAACCCTTGATAGAACAATGGATCTGGATACTGCAAGTGAAGATCATCAGTGATATCATCGTAACGCAATGATGGTTGGAATCCTGGGGATTCGTCTTTGAAATAATGACACAGTTTGACACTGCCATCCTGCCACACCAGGCAACTCCCACTCCAAGGACAACGCCTGGGGACCAGAGAACCTCTCGGACCATGCTTCACCAAGGCAGGCTCTGCAGCTGCCGCAGGCACAGGTGAGAGTGCTTCCATGGGTATGGGTTTGGCCCAAGGCTTGGTGGGGGTTCTTCATATCCATTAGATTCCATTGGATATGGTGTCCCTGGGAGTCAAAGACCATGATATTCTGACCCAGGACCGAGGACCTTCCTTCACTTCCACCGGTGAACCTCTCGTCGAACGTGGACGACTTCGGCCCGGGGTGCACGCGCGGGGCCGAGGGAGGTGCCCGCCCATGGGGCTGGGTGGGAACTTGGACCTGAACCTCGGGCTTTCAGCTATTGTAGACACTCCAAAACAGGGGCTCTGATATATGATGTTCGATCATCCCATGATGGAATGTGTCCAACCCTTCCTTCCACGGCCTTTCGAAGCCCTGTTGCGTCACCCGTTCCAGGCGTCGGAGACCGTCTGAGACGACAGCGCCGCCGGCCGCCTCGGCCGAAAGCTTCGCGGCGCCGGTGGAGTGGATGAGAGCTGGCACTGAGAGCTGATTTCCAAAGAGAAGTGAACTCATGAATCCCTCTGACTTGGACTCGACTCCGCTGGTGCGCTTGCTTGCTGCGCACGAGACGCCAAAAGAAGAGGCATCTCGTTGGCTTCAGCCAAAAGGAGAGTGGAGAAGCCGGGAGTGTCCAGGACGGCCCAAAACATTTGTGGGTCACATGCTTTGCATTGAATGAAGCAATTGACCACTGATCAGCCGGTGACTTACGGGTGATGGCCAGCCCCGAAGTAACGCCCACGGCTCGGGGTGGGACCGATCGGGTTGGCTGTTCTGTTCGGTTCGGATTGAGTCTCCATGAGCACTTAGCAGATCCTGGGGGGCCTAGATTCCGAAGGCCCCTTTTTTGGGCTTGCTGGTGGGTCAAAAGCAATGAAGCCCAAGTCCCTTGTAGCTAGACTTTCCGTCTAGTCTGCTGCTGTTCTTTTTCATCCCAAAACCCAGCTGCCCAGTCTGTTTACACAGTTGACACAGACAGCACTCAATCAGGCGCTCCCCAAAGGCCAGGCCGGCCGCGTTTCTTTTTTGGAAAAAAGGACGAAACCATTGGCAAAGGGTGAGCTAAACTGAGCTCCAAAGCGAATGTAGATCGACTTTGTTTTCTTCCCCTCTGCGCAGCTGTTTGCATTAACAGCCTCAGACTCGTTTCGCGCCTGGCGAGCTTCCTTTGCGGGGGGTGGCCTGGCCGTGGGGACACATGTCCGAGGCCTGGGGCGCAGCATGGGGCGGGTCTCCCGCTGGGACAGCTCGGGGCGAGTCGGACGTAACAACTCAAAGAGGTTGACCCGAAACCCCAAGGGGCCCAAGGATGCCCTTGGTAATTCTGAAGGGGCCCAAGGACCTAGACTCTGAGAGCAGGTGAACCACATCAGGTCCACCCATCAAGTCAGTTCTGCTGAAACCAAAGAAGTCATACAGCTCCTCACACCATCCAGTCACATCCCCGCATGGTCCGTTTCGGCTGCGGGTGCAGCCCGGCGCCCGAGCGCCAGGGCTACAAGACCATCGAGGAGCCTCCGAGTGTGGATGAATGGCAACAAGCAGTCGATGAACTGAAGCAGGCGAGCGAGCGTTCATGGGTGGTGCCCGAAACGACGACCGCCGCGTTCCAACCCGTCCTTTGCGGGAAAACCCATCGCACGGTGGTTTCGATTGGAAAGGGACCTTATATAGATATTACTTAGATATTGATAGATATAGCAGGGTGATCCTTGTTTTGGGGGCCGACTCTTAGAGGGTTTGAAGCATCAGAACATGGCCAAACCCACTTGGTGGATCTCGATCTCCTTGGTGCTCCTTGGTGCGAGTGTCCAAACCCGTCATTGGGCACCATCGGGCCACCTTTCAGGGCGGCATAGACCAGGACGGACACCAAGAGGTGTCTATAACATGAGGAAGGTAAGCTTCCACTGGGTATCCAATTTCCAAGCTTCATCCAGCTCATCAGAAGTCTATGAATTTAGTCTCTTTAGAGGTGATTTGGGGTGTCCAAGAAGCACCGGAGTTGGAAGGTGCTGGGACACCAAATGGCCGGATTTTCTTCGGACACCGGTCTCGAGGGATTAGATGAGACCGTTGAAACGACCGTTGAACATTGGGTTCTAGGAAGAATGGTTCTTCAACTATTTATGTATTTATGACATGTCCCTTCAAGTCCAAGGGCCAAGTTAAACCTGGTCCTTGGCCTGTAGGGTTTACCCGATACTGACTACTGACTAGTTAAAAAAGAACACATTCCGGCCACCTCGGTCCAACCCCCATCCTGTTAG